TGTGAGTCAAGTGACAAAGACACGGGTGAGTAAATCATAAGATTTACGATAAGATACCTGGCTATGAGATATCTTATGATATCTTATGATAAGGCTATGTTATGTTAAGACTATGTTATGCGGTTAAGAGGGCTCGTGAATGCACATGTTGGCGTGTGTTTTATTCTGATTGTTGAGTGCCTCTTTAATTATGACTTCGTGACCTCGACAACTGAGCGCTGGAGCCAGGTCGCCCGCTCAACTAGTAGGTCATATTTCGTACGTTATAGGCTTTAACGTATAAATGATAATGTACTGTGAAAAGTAGCGGCTCACAAAAAAACAAAACACGTTTTCTGTGCATCGGTAGGGTAAGTTAGGTGGGTTGCTTGGGTTCCTGCGTTTCTGGTTAGTTTAGCACTTCGTATTTTGTACGTTGTGGCACATCAAAAGAACGGGCTGGTTGAAATGGAACTTGCTTTACCACAGCGTATGGTAACGAAAGGTGGGAAGGAAAATGGAAGATAGAAAAAGTGCATTACACATAGAGAGAGAGGATGAGGGAGGAGACAAAGTAGATCATGCACTGTACCCCAGTAGATTGACAATTGAGAGGCGGGACCAAAGAGCCAAAGCTCAACCCCCGCAAGCACAACTTGGTGAGTACTATGTGTGTGTGTGTGGGGGGGGGGGGTGTACAGTGCATGTCCAAGGTGGCATGTGAGGTGTGCCGGTGTTTGTGGACAACATGGCCGGTGTTGGTAGCTTGGTTGGTCAAAAGCCGATGTGGGCCGCCTTATTTATCAAGGCTGATGCTATTGGTTGCTTTCGCTGTTTGTAATATTGCTTTATCAATATTATTTTTTGTCCTTTGTAGATTGGATCTGACGGGTGCTTTCTTCGGGGTCTTCGGGGTCTCTGGGGTCTTCGGGGTCTCTGGGGTCTTCGGGGTCCCCAGGGTCTTCAGGGTCCCCAGGGTCTTCGGGGTCCCCAGGGTCTTCGGGGTCTTCGGGGTGCCCAGGGTCTTCGGGGTCCCCAGGGTCTTCGGGGTCCCCAGGGTCTTCGGGGTCTTCGGGGTGCCCAGGGTCTTCGGGGTCCCCAGGATCATCGGGGTCTCCGGGGAGGTCACTAAGGATTCGAGGTCTTTAGGGGATTAGGTTTGTGGTTGTGCCTTTTGATTTTTTGTCGTTCCTGTCCGGAATGACCTTGTGTGAGGTGGAGGAGTTGATACCGCTTGTTTAGGTAGTTGTTTACACAGGAGGGTACAGGAGCAGACGACTTTCTGACTCCTGTTAGTACCTTGACAGCTTTTCCCTCTCATAGTTCACGGTAATCCGTACCCACGAGTGTTCCCAAGAATACTACCCGCTGTACGGTTTATAACCAGGTACCCAGTTACTGCCTGGTTTACAGACGTGGGCAGTTAAGGTCAGGCGCCCAGTTAATCCTCCCTGGCCAGGACTCGAACCCAGACCAAATCGCTAGCGAGGTGTGGGGCGAGTATTTTTGTATGAAGGACTAAACGTTTTACACACGCCAATCATTTTTTTAGTACATTTTAAATGCAAAGTTACTCTCTCAACAGTGTGTTACTCTGGACATTTAAAACAAGTTGATCAGAGTATATAAAAGATCTTTATACACGATTCTTGAATAATTGAGTTCAAAAGAGTTTTGGAAAACCTAGGGCGGGGTAGGTCATTCATCGAGGCTGTTGTGGAATGTAAAAATGCCACACCGTAGCGTTTCATCTTTGGAGTAGTTAATAACATTTGTCATCTGCGAGAAGCAGTTGGAGTACGAGTACTGTAAGACCATCTTGAGGTTATCTTGAGATGATTTCGGGGCTTTTAGTGTCCCCGCGGCCCGGTCCTCGACCAGGCCTCCACCCCCAGGAACCAGCCCGTGACAGCTGACTAACACCCAGGTACCTATTTTTACTGCTAGGTAACAGGGGCATAGGGTGAAAGAAACTCTGCCCATTGTTTCTCGCCGGCGTCCGGGATCGAACCCGGGACCACGGGATCACAAGTACAGTGTGCTGTCCGCTCGGCCGACCGGCCGACCGGCTCCCCATACTTGAGGAGGCGGGACACAACTCGCAAGGTGTTGAGCTGGAGACACGGACCTCCACCTGCCAGTACTCCAGCGGAGTCGCCAGAGGCCAGATTCACGAAGCACTAACGCGAGTACTTACGAAGTTGTACATCTTTCCTCAATCTTTGACGGCTTTGGTTGCATTTATTGAACAGTTTACAAGCATGAAAACTTGCCAATCAACTGTTGTTATTGTTATAAACAGCCTCCTGGTGCTTCTTAGCTCATTAACTGTTTCATAATTGTAAACAAAGCCGCCAAAGATTGAGAAAAGATGTACAGGTTCGTAAGTGCTCGCGTAACTGCTTCGTGAATGTGGTCCCAGGTCCCACCACCTTGCCACACAGACAATACCGCCAAGAATGATAGAGGAGGATGGGGGGAATTATCAGGGGAAAAGCGCCAAGCCATTACGACTATAAAGCACGAGGAAGGGATCAGGATAAAGATTTGGGATAGGACGGGGTAAAGGAATGGTGCCCAACCACTTGGACGGTCAGGGATTGAACGCCGACCTGCATAAAGCGAGACCGTAAGTCTACCGTCCACCCCAAGTGGTTAGATAGATCACCCGGATATAAAAATGAGACTTTTGGTAGAGCTGAAGTAACTAAAGAAATTAAATTTCCTTTGAAACTTAGAAGGAAATGTTCAACGTTTTTGGAAGCCATCTTGGCAATTGGTAAAATGTGAGGCTTACAATATTGATGGTTATATAGTTAAAGTTATAGATAGGAGGTGACGAAACTGAATTTGCAATCAGATGGAGTTTGGTTTGATGCAATTGGGGAAAAAAGGGTATTTGTAATTAACTTGACTAAATTGCAAGGGCCCCAAATACGAGAACTGAACTACAAAGAGGGTGATTTCTGAGGACTGCAAAGGAAGTATTATAACTCCAATCTACTCTCTTCTCTAGACTTGAGTCGGCATAAGATTTCTTCAAATAACATCATTGATTAGACGATAGTAGATAACTTTGCGGAATACTAAAGTGGAAGCAGAGTTAAGTCTAGCCGTCCACAACAGCAGTAATAACTCTAACAAAGAACGCAAGAAATAATAGCACTCACAAGGTGAGAAGTCGAGGATTGATTACACAGCGATTGGGTGATATTTGTTCTAAGTTATTAATGGGTTTGCAAATGTCCAGAGCAAAATATACTCTACAATGGCAAGTGAAGTGAACCATATATGAGTAGTGTACAAGAGTCCCTGGTGGCGTAATGGATTTGGTCTGGGTTCGAGTCCTGCCCAGGCAGGATTAACTGGCCGCCAATCCTTAACTGTTCGCAGCTGTTCACCCAGCAGTAATTAGGTACCTGGTTATTAACCGATCGGCGGGTCGTGTTCCAGGGAAAGACTAGTTGGTTAAGCTTACCATCAAATTACAAGAGCGGGAAACAGGTCCTGGGAACAACATGGTCAATAGCATAAGAGATCCGGGTGTGAGCGGGAAGATGATTGGGAGAAGATTGTAGCTAGAGCAAAGAAGGATTAGGGAGGCGGTAATAATATGGTCCCATCAGGGCTCAGGGAGCCTCCCAACCGTCACCCACGACCTTCCTGGCACTCTCATGTATCAGGGACTGAAGGCCGTGTCTTGTCAACCAGTGGACATGTTTGTGGCCAACCATGGGACTGAAGGTCTGGTGTTTGTGATCAACCATGGAATCAGGTTACCATGATGATTAGGATCAACCAGGTGTTTGTGATCAACCATGCCATGAGTTTATAGTCAACCATGAATCAACATACGAGGAAATCATTAAAATCTTAAGATGTCAATTGTGAGCAGTGTTGGTGCCCATGAATAGTGTAAGGTCAGAGAGCAGTGTTGGTGCCCATGAATAGTGTAAGGTCAGAGAGCAGTGTTGGTGCCCAAGTATAGTGTAAGATCAGAGAACAGTGTTGGTGCCCATGTGCAGTGTAAGATCAGAGAGCAGTGTTGGTGCCCATGAATAGTGTAAGGTCAGAGAACAGTGTTGGTGCCCATGTGCAGTGTAAGATCATAGAGCAGTGTTGGCGCCCATGTATAGTGTAAGATCAGAGAGCAGTGTTGGCGCCCATGTATAGTGTAAGATCAGAGAGCAGTGTTGGCGCCCATGTATAGTGTAAGATCAGAGAGCAGTGTTGGTGCCCATGTACAGTGTAAGATCATAGAGCAGTGTTGGTGCCCATGTACAGTGTAAGGTCAGAGAGCAGTGTTGGTGCCCATGTACAGTGTAAGATCAGAGAGCAGTGTTGGTGCCCATGTATAGTGTAAGATCAGAGAGCAGTGTTGGTGCCCATGTATAGTGTAAGATCAGAGAGCAGTGTTGGTGCCCATGTATAGTGTAAGATCAGAGAGCAGTGTTGGTGCCCATGTATAGTGTAAGATCAGAGAGCAGTGTTGGTGCCCATGTATAGTGTAAGATCAGAGAGCAGTGTTGGTGCCCATGTACAGTGTAAGATCATAGAGCAGTGTTGGTGCCCATGTACAGTGTAAGATCATAGAGCAGTGTTCGTGCCCATGTACAGTGTAAGATCAGAGAGCAGTGTTGGTGCCCATGTATAGTGTAAGATCAGAGAGCAGTGTTGGTGCCCATGTATAGTGTAAGATCAGAGAGCAGTGTTGGTGCCCATGTATAGTGTAAGATCAGAGAGCAGTGTTGGTGCCCATGTATATAGTGTAAGATCAGAGAGCAGTGTTGGTGCCCATGTATAGTGTAAGATCAGAGAGCAGTGTTGGTGCCCATGTATAGTGTAAGATCAGAGAGCAGTGTTGGTGCCCATGTATAGTGTAAGATCAGAGAGCAGTGTTGGTGCCCATGTATAGTGTAAGATCAGAGAGCAGTGTGATAGAGATCAATTTCAGCAACAATCCCAGTTGACGTCAAGGGAGAAATTGACTAAATACTTGTAAATTCGACAATCAAGTTCAATTAGGACGCTCCACATAGAGCGTCCACTTCTTCCTGCCTTATACCACTGGTTATACCACTGGCTATACCACTGGTTATACCACTGGCTATACCACTGGTTATACCACTGGCTATACCACTGGTTATACCACTGGCTATACCACTGGTTATACCACTGGTTATACCACTGGCTATACCACTGGTTATACCACTGGCTATACCACTGGCTGTACCACTGGCTATACCACTGGTTATACCACTGGTTATACCACTGGTTATACCACTGGTTATACCACTGGCTATACCACTGGTTATACCACTGGTTATACCACTGGTTATACCACTGGCTATACCACTGGTTATACCACTGGTTATACCACTGGTTATACCACTGGTTATACCACTGGCTATACCACTGGTTATACCACTGGTTATACCACTGGTTATACCACTGGCTATACCACTGGTTATACCACTGGTTATACCACTGGCTGTACCACTGGCTATACCACTGGTTATACCACTGGCTGTACCACTGGCTGTACCACTGGCTGTACCACTGGCTATACCACTGCCTATACCACTGGTTATACCGCTGACTATACCACTGGCTGTACCACTGGCTGTACCACTGGCTATACCACTGCCTATACCACTGGCTGTACCACTGGCTATACCATGCCTATGCCACTGGTTATACCACTGGTTATACCACTGGCTATACCACTGGCTGTACGACTGGCTGTACCACTGGCTGCACCGCTGGCTATATCACTGGCTATACCACTGGTTATACCACTGACTATACCACAGGCTATACCACTGGTTATACCACTGGTTATACCACTGGCTATACCACTGGCTATACCACAGGCTATACCACTGGCTATACCACAGGCCATACCACAGGCCATACCACTGGCCATACCACAGGCTATACCACAGGCTATACCCACAGGCTATACCACAGGCTATACCACAGGCTATACCACAGGCTATACCACAGGCTATACCACTGGCCTAGATCCAGCCCGTCCATAACACGGCGTATTTTGACGTATTCTGCACCTTAGGCCATATACTTCCATACACGAAAATTATAGCGTTGACGAAATGGACATAATGTCCCGTTTTCTGTCCGTGGGTTTTCTGGTAGGTTAGGTTAGGGCACTTTAGTGCGACAGTTTCTTGACGCTGAGAGCGCTTGCGAGAACAGGCTGCTGGATCCAGGGCCTCATCAACACCAGTAGATGGGTGGAAACACACAGGAAAGGTTATGAATTAATAGGATAAAATGGATAGGAAGTATACCTAAATGGACCTCTGTCTCCTGTCCCAGCTCCTTTCCTGTCCTTCTGTCCCAGCTCCTTTCCTGTCCTTCTGTCCCAGCTCCTTTCCTGTCCTTCTGTCGCAGCTCCTTTCCTGTCCTACTGTCCCAGCTCCTTTCCTGTCCTACTGTCCCAGCTCCTTTCCAGTCCCAGCTCCTTTCCTGTCCTTCTGTCCCAGCTCCTTTCCTGTCCTTCTGTCGCAGCTCCTTTCCTGTCCTTCTGTCCCGGCTCCTTTCCTGTCCTTCTGTCCCGGCTCCTTTCCTGTCCTTCTGTCCCAGCTCCTTTCCTGTCCTTCTGTCCCAGCTCCTTTCCTGTCCTTCTGTCGCAGCTCCTTTCCTGTCCTTCTGTCGCAGCTCCTTTCCTGTCCTTCTGTCCCAGCTCCTTTCCTGTCCTTCTGTCCCAGCTCCTTTCCTGTCCTTCTGTCCCAGCTCCTTTCCTGTCCTTCTATCCCAGCTCCTTTCCTGTCCTTCTGTCCCAGCTCCTTTCCTGTCCTTCTATCCCAGCTCCTTTCCTGTCCTTCTGTCCCAGCTCCTTTCCTGTCCTTCTGTCCCAGCTCCTTTCCTGTCCTTCTGTCCCAGCTCCTTTCCTGTCCTTCTGTCCCAGCTCCTTTCCTGTCCTTCTGTCCCAGCTCCTTTCCTGTCCTTCTGTCCCTTCCATGTGGTCTACAGGCACGTGGCCCAGCAGCCCGTCCTCCTAAGGGTGTCCAGCGTCAGGAAAACGGTGGAGAATAACGTCACAATTCCTAAGAATTGGAAGTCCTCTGACTCTTAACCCAATTCCCGACAGCACTCGGGGACCATTTTGGGAACAGATATTTCATCATATAGCTTCTACATGGTCCCAGCATGTTGGCCTCCATGTGGTCCCAGCATGTTGGGCTCCTATGTGGCCCCAGCATGTTGGGCTCCTATGTGGCCCCAGCATGTTGGGCTCCTATGTGGTCCGAGCATGTGGGCCCAGCATGTTGGCCCCAGCATGTTGGCCCCCATGTGGCCCCAGCATGTTGGCCCCCATGTGGCCCCAGCATGTTGGCCCCCATGTGGCCCCAGCATGTTGGCCCCCATGTGGCCCCAGCATGTGGGCCCAGCATGTTGGCCCCATGTGGCCCCCCAGCATGTTGCCCCCATGTGGCCCCCCAGCATGTTGGCCCCATGTGGCCCCCCAGCATGTTGGCCCCATGTGGCCCCCCAGCATGTTGGCCCCATGTGGCCCCCCAGCATGTTGGCCCCATGTGGCCCCCCCAGCATGTTGGCCCCATGTGGCCCCCCAGCATGTTGGCCCCATGTGGCCCCCCAGCATGTTGGCCACCATGTGGCCCCCCAGCATGTTGGCCCCATGTGGCCCCCAGCATGTTGGCCCCATGTGGCCCCCAAGCATGTTGGCCCCATGTGGCCCCCCAGCATGTTGGCCCCATGTGGCCCCCCAGCATGTTGGCCTCCATGTGGCCCCCCAGCATGTTGGCCCCATGTGGCCCCCTAGCATGTTGGCCCCATGTGGCCCCCTAGCATGTTGGCCCCATGTGGCCCCCTAGCATGTTGGCCCCATGTGGCCCCCCAGCATGTTGGCCCCATGTGGCCCCCCAGCATGTTGGCCTCCATGTGGCCCCCCAGCATGTTGGCCTCCATGTGGCCCCCCAGCATGTTGGCCCCATGTGGCCCCCAGCATGTTGGCCCCATGTGGCCCCCTAGCATGTTGGCCCCATGTGGCCCCCCAGCATGTTGGCCCCATGTGGCCCCCCAGCATGTTGGCCCCATGTGGCCCCCCAGCATGTTGGCCCCATGTGGCCCCCCAGCATGTTGGCCCCATGTGGCCCCCCAGCATGTTGGCCCCATGTGGCCCCCCAGCATGTTGGCCCCATGTGGCCCCCCAGCATGTTGGCCCCATGTGGCCCCCCAGCATGTTGGCCCCATGTGGCCCCCCAGCATGTTGGCCCCATGTGGCCCCCCAGCATGTTGGCCCCATGTGGCCCCCCAGCATGTTGGCCCCATGTGGCCCCCCAGCATGTTGGCCCCATGTGGCCCCCCAGCATGTTGGCCCCATGTGGCCCCCCAGCATGTTGGCCCCATGTGGCCCCCCAGCATGTTGGCCCCATGTGGCCCCCCAGCATGTTGGCCCCATGTGGCCCCCCAGCATGTTGGCCCCATGTGGCCCCCCAGCATGTTGGCCCCCCAGCATGTTGGCCCCATGTGGCCCCCCAGCATGTTGGCCCCATGTGGCCCCCCAGCATGTTGGCCCCATGTGGCCCCCCAGCATGTTGGCCCCATGTGGCCCCCCAGCATGTTGGCCCCATGTGGCCCCCCAGCATGTTGGCCCTATGTGGCCCCCCAGCATGTTGGCCCCATGTGGCCCCCCAGCATGTTGGCCCCATGTGGCCCCCCAGCATGTTGGCCCCATGTGGCCCCCCAGCATGTTGGCCCCATGTGGCCCCCCAGCATGTTGGCCCCATGTGGCCCCCCAGCATGTTGGCCCCATGTGGCCCCCCAGCATGTTGGCCCCATGTGGCCCCCCAGCATGTTGGCCCCATGTGGCCCCCCAGCATGTTGGCCCCATGTGGCCCCCCAGCATGTTGGCCCCATGTGGCCCCCCAGCATGTTGGCCCCATGTGGCCCCCCAGCATGTTGGCCCCATGTGGCCCCCCAGCATGTTGGCCCCATGTGGCCCCCCAGCATGTTGGCCCCATGTGGCCCCCCAGCATGTTGGCCCCATGTGGCCCCCCAGCATGTTGGCCCCATGTGGCCCCCCAGCATGTTGGCCCCATGTGGCCCCCCAGCATGTTGGCCCCATGTGGCCCCCCAGCATGTTGGCCCCATGTGGCCCCCCAGCATGTTGGCCCCATGTGGCCCCCCAGCATGTTGGCCCCATGTGGCCCCCCAGCATGTTGGCCCCATGTGGCCCCCAGCATGTTGGCCCCATGTGGCCCCCCAGCATGTTGGCCCCATGTGGCCCCCCAGCATGTTGGCCCCATGTGGCCCCCCAGCATGTTGGCCCCATGTGGCCCCCCAGCATGTTGGCCCCATGTGGCCCCCCAGCATGTTGGCCCCATGTGGCCCCCCAGCATGTTGGCCCCATGTGGCCCCCCAGCATGTTGGCCCCATGTGGCCCCCCAGCATGTTGGCCCCATGTGGCCCCCCAGCATGTTGGCCCCATGTGGCCCCCCAGCATGTTGGCCCCATGTGGCCCCCCAGCATGTTGGCCCCATGTGGCCCCCCAGCATGTTGGCCCCATGTGGCCCCCCAGCATGTTGGCCCCATGTGGCCCCCCAGCATGTTGGCCCCATGTGGTCCCAGCATGTTGGCCCCAGCATGTTGGCCCCCCATGTGGTCCCAGCATGTTGGCCCCCTGGCTAGGCTAGGCTAGGCTAGGCTAGGCTAGGCTAGGCGGGTATGGTAGTGTTCGCTATCCACCCCCTGGACGCTGGCGGCACGTGGTGCTTCAGCTATGTTTAGCTAACATTCGAGTGAATTGCTCAATTACCTGTGTTATTTTTACACGTATTCTATTATTTTCCTTCCCTCCCTCCCTTCCCCCTCAACGCTTTTCCATATTACTCTTTTCTTTCTTGTTTTTACCCTTAGTTTCACGTTGGGGTGTTTGTGGTTAGACCATATTATGGTTGTATGGTTGATTGATGTGAAGTGATGATGTGTGGGCTTATTGTTTAAGCACCACTACCACCACCACGACTGTCGTGACGGTGGTGGTGGTGGCTCTTGGTTGGGTTGTGGTGGGTTCTTGAATGGAAGGTGGTTGCCTGGTAGTTTGTGGTAATTACCATTCAAGTGCAATTACCTAAGTGTAGTTACAGGATGAGAGCTACGCTCGTGGTGTCCCGTCTTCCCAGTACTCTTTGTCGTGTAACGCTTTGAAGTTATTGACGGTTTTGGCCTCCACCACCTTTCCACTTATATTTCAACCATCAACCACTCTGCTTAAGTGAATTTTCTAACGTGTTTTTCGGCAGCTTTGTTTAGTTAGCTTAAAACTATGACCTCTTGTTCTTGAAGTTCCAGGTCCCGAGAATTCTTCTTTGTAAATTTTGTCAATTACTATTTTGTATGTAGTGATCATATCACCTCTCTCTCTTCTATCTTCTAGCGTTGGCATATTTAATGCCTCTAACCTCTCCTGCAGTTCAGGAAGCCATTTAGTTGCATGCCTTTTGCACCTTTTCCAGCTTGTTGATGTGCTGTTTAATATGTTCCATACAACTGCTGCATATTCCAACTTTGGTCTCACGAAGGTCGTGAACAATTTCTTAAGTATTTCGTATTGTATTTAAAAGCATTAAATTGTATTTAGTAGTGTCTTCACCAGTGGAGCGAATCCTGGTAATAATGCACGTTCGAATTCAGGT